CCCTCACTTAGAGCTGTGAGAGAAAACACTGACAAATCATCTTTATATGGTGACTCTGAGAGCCTGATTTTTCATGCCAGGACATCATCTGTATGTTTCTATAATTTCCACTGACTTCAGAATGCCTCCAGTATTTAAAATTCTTTTATGGTTTTATGAGTCAGCCTTCATATCTGAACATCTCTGTAGTGTAGTCTTTTGACAGGGCCATTCAACTCCAATAAATAGGCCTAAATCTATCAATCTTGGTTTTATTTGGTTTAGTCTTTAGTATGAGGAGGAAAAAAAAAAAAAAGAAAATATGTAAGTAGAAGACCATTCTTTAGCTGGTAAACCTTTTAGGAACAAAAAGTGATTCTCATGTGACACTGACTGCACTTTATTTCTTAGCAGCATTGGAATCTGAATGTTAATCTCTCTGAATAAAAAGCAACTTCGATGTAACAGCTCTGCCATCAACACATCTACTTGAAATGCATTTGGACAGTTGTAATCCTCTGAAGAGAAGTCAGGAAAAGAAGACAAACCTTTATCTTGCTTTGACTTCTGAATTATGCCTCTAAGGGTGTGGGCTGTTCTTAGCCTACATTTACTGGCAGAATTAGCTAGAAAAGATGATCAGTGGTTAATACATGCAGACAGAAATTGTCAGCTAGAAAAGATGTGTATACAGAAATGGCTCATTTCCTTCAAATGAGCAGCATTCCCATTTTCCAGTGTCCAAGGTAAGCAGTGAGCTAGCAATGCATAGGGGATGGGAATGAGAAGAGCAGGAAGCCAACTTCTGCATGAAATGCAAACCAGTAGCGGCTGCCGCTCAGAGGCTGTGCTGGGAGGCAGCGGTTCACTGCTTGCAACTCCCCTGTGCCTCCCGGGATCTGCCACCTCACATCTTCAGGACAAGGAGAGGGAAGGCTGCCACTTGTGCGGAGCTGAGATTTCGGTACGAGAGGTGAGCCGGGAGTCCCGTATGGGAAACAACACAGTACTGCTGATCAGCTTGATGGATGTCAGCTGGCAGCCAGCACCAGAGCTAACTCAGTGGGAACAGCATATCAAACCCAGTTCCTGCAAATGCTCTGAGAGGAACAGTATTTTTTCTCAAAGTTATGCTACGCCTGTCTGAAAAAAAAGCAAAGGAAAGGTAAACAGAGGGATTACCTTCTCCAAGCTCTCTTCAAATGTATTTCATTTTCACGACTGGAAAGCACAGTTGAAGGCTGTAGTTCTCAGTAGTAGTCTTCTGCTGAGGAGCTCTGGAACTTCCAAAGTCTCCTTAATCTACCAGACACGCTGCAGGGAGAAAATTGGTTACCTGCTGTATTGGCAGCCAACTTCTGACTCTCACTTCACAATTGTTTTTCTCTTCTGGAGAAGTTTGTTTGAACTGCAGGGAAATAGATTGGCCCTGGAAGGGAGGTAGCGTAGTGCAAGACAGTCATGGCAACAGAATGTCTCCCCACTGCCTCATTTGGCTTCAAGGGGATGCTGCCGGTTCCCAGGTTCATGAGGAGTGCTGCTGCGAGGAGGCAGAGAGAAGATAAAAAGCATGCACCAGTGTTATGTCCCACTATGGGCCATTTCTTGTTGCTCTCCAGCTGGCCAAACACAGAGAGTTGCAGATGATCAGTTCTCTCACTGTCCATCCTGGTATACCTCCGTCCCTCACCCTGTGCAGTTGTTGCTTACACTTCTTTTTCGAAGTTATTTTTTAAAAGAAGAAAAATATCTCTATACTTTGAGTTGGAGCATCTCTTTCTGAGAAAGTTTCTTTGCTTAAATTTTTAACTAAACAAGTTTCCTTATAATGGCATTTGATTTCTAATTGATAAGTCTTTAGAAGGTGTAATTCGTTTGACAGAAGATCTGTCCTCTTCCCATGACCTTTTTTAAGCGCTTCTTTGTAACCAGTTTCACTTGTTATTAGAGAAATGGCTATCTACCTGTGTCTCAGTAGGAAAACCCAAAGAAGTACTGTGACCTGTGAATCCATATCTGGTTGAAACATGGCTTTGGAAGTTCATTAGCAATAGCAGGTTTGTAGCCAGAGTGGAAATTTATAACAGATTTCTTCTTTGCAGTTGGTAAATAGGGTAATAAATAAAAACAGCATAATGAAAGGATAAGCTAAAGACTTGATTAAAGAAAAAAAAAGACAAAAATGCAAAACAAAAACTCAAACTCGAGGCTCTTCCTTAAAACACACTAACTGGAGAGAGACATACTGGACTAGTAACAGACTATGACACTTGTCTGTCAAGGGACAAACTGATGTTAATATTATCTTAAGACTGAAGAATTTAGGGAGAGAGATTCTGAAAATGCTTATGGGTTTTAGCTTCAGAAGCCCTCCTAGAAGGTTTGGAAATCATTAATGTTCCTAAACTCCTTTAGCACCGTTTAAAACTTTCTCCATTTTTAAGCAGTCTGTATTATTAGAGGCTGACTACTTTAATATCGCAAACTGATAAACATGTGTAGAGTGCCCTTCTGCCTAAGGCCCATCTTGCATATATATTTCTCTTTAGTTCCTAATTCACACAAACGCTTTTAGTTTTCAGTAAAAATGGTGGGAATATCTGTTGCCGCTGAAGCACTGCTTCACTAAAAGACAGAAAGTGAGGAACGACGTCACAGGAGCCAGGGGCTTGCTTTGGTCAGAAGAAGGAAAAAGGACATGGGTGGAAGCTGGGAACACCCTTCTGTTGAGTGACTCCTAGTAAAAAGGTAGCACATGTTGCATTTCTCAGTGCTAGCAGGATTGAGTTCTGGTATTTAATTTCCTTCAGATTCTCTTCAGATAGTGTGACTAATAGGTTTTCTATATTCATGATCCTTTTTAATGTAGTTTCTTCAAGATTGGTTTCTGTTGCTGGTTTGGACGTAAACAGTTTATGGAGAGCTGTTTATCTAGGCATGTCTTGTTATTAAGTCTCTTTATTAACCTGTGCCATGCAATTCAGATGTGCTGATTTAGTGGTTAAAAGCATGCTAATTCGCACAGCATTGTCGTGAGTAAATGTCTAAACAAATATCTGCAGTGAATATTATAAATTCATTTTTAAATGAATGCATTCTAAGGAAGAAGAAACAGTCAACTGAATTAAGGTGAAAATTCACTTTTGAAGTAACTCTTTGAAATTCAAAACTTGCAGTATACCTTTTTGCAGTCTAGAAAAGGCATTGAAAAGCAGCTCAGTAGAGGTGGAGGGAAGGGTAGGAGGGGAAGGAAATTACAATCTTTGTTGCAACCAGTATCTAGCTGAAAGATATGAAGGCAGTTTGAGTGTGTTACTTGGCTAAAGCAACTTCAGCTGCCATCTTGCACATCCAAAGTGTCCTTACTGAGCACTTCTGGTGTATTTTAGAATGAGGTATTCTCAGGTTTTGGTAGTTAATGAACCACACATAGGTTCTGACTGTAGCTCAGATGGAGACAGCAAGTTAAATCCTTATTCCAGAGAAACATAAAATGGGTGGAAACTGAGGTCTGCAGTCTCTCCAACAGCTCCCACAGTCATATGGGAGCTGTTTTGCTCTTCGTGATGTCGAAAGGAAAGACGAAGAGCGGGCAAGAAGGAATTATTTTCTAGCCTAGTTTTGGCTGCTTTGATTTCCAGTGCCTGCCCTACTGTTCTTTAATTGCTGAAAATACTGGAAGCATGAAAAGAAAATCTTGAGTGCCACAAGCCAAAATAGCATATTGTAAAGCAGATGTAAAATACTTCTTGCAAGTGAGAGAAGTGGGTTCAGGTTCTCTCCAACAAGCAAGATCTAACCTAAGTCATCAAATCTTAGCTGGCTTTTCCACTGAATGTCCTATCCTTTGACCAGTTAAGGTCACTCACTGAAATTGCTGCATCCTTCTCTAGTGCTTTATTTCTTTTGCTTTTTCACATGTCATATCTTACTTTAATATATCATTCAGTGAAATGTTTGTTTGCTTGTTTGTTTTTCCTTCCCACAAATAGTTTAAATAAGTACATTGTGGGAGAAATAAAACTGAAGTTATTTTTATTTTTTTTGAGCTTGGCAGCTCTTATGTGTACCACTTTTTATTAGCTGGCAGTTACACTTTTGGTGATATAGAAATAAGAGCAATTGGATGTGACAAATAAATCATTTTGACCTATATATAGCTTCCATATATTAAAAACTTCACAGAATGAAAGCAGGGCTGACAAATTATCAGGAAAAACAATTATGGTGTATAAAAGACTTAGAATCTTTTTCCTTATGTTTTTCATCAAGTCTGAAGTTAGTGAAGAAGGCTTGATAGGGGTCTGTAATTGCTTCATTTGTTAAAAGCTGTTGTAAATTATTCCGGCTTTGAGAAAAAAAGGTCTTGTCAATCTCTTCTTCTGTGTCCCCTCCCTCTGCTTCCATTACCCGTTTCAAGGCTTTTACTTTCTCAGCTAGGGAAAGTGCCCAGAAGCCAAGGGAGTTAAGCAGGGCTGCTTAGTTCTGCTTCTAGGCTAGTGTCGGTTGCAGCTCTGGGAATCGGCCCTTTCTGCGACTAGTCTGTAAGGGTTACATTCAAAATGACTTATGTCATCATGTCGTCAGAAGAGACATGCTTCAAAACAGGTACCGGGACTGAGCACATTGGTTTGCAGTGACAAGCAAATAAGCAGAAGAATAATATCTTAATATCTGTTTTCTTTTCTGCCTTTGCATTTTATGACTTTTCAGTCAAAATAGATGTATATCTTACCTTTGACAGGATTGTATAGTGCTGTGTAAAATGTCACCTGTTAGCTATTTATATCTTTGTAACTCACAGTGGAAACCTTGTTATGTATCAAAAGAAATGTAACATTATGAAAGAAATGAAATATGGGGTTATTTTGGGTGTCTCCATAATAAAGAATTTTTCTTAGGGTGTTTTTAAAAATTTCTATGATTTTAAAAGCTTGAAAGTAATGTTCTTATGTAGTTTCTGTTACTTTGGATTATACGTACTACAATGAGTATATATTTATTGTTTTATTTCTTCATAGATATTTCATTGATCATAACACAGAAGAAGATAGGTATTTCACCATTGATGCTAGTACTGGGACCATTAAGACTGCCAAGATCTTTGACAGAGAGGAGACACCTTGGTACAACATTACGGTGGCTGCTTCTGAGATAGGTAAATAATATATTTGGCACATAGCATTAAATCAAAAAATTAGAAAGGAAAATAATAATTTTCAGATTTTAAGAAACACTATCTTGAGATGTTACATTCTTTTTAACACCATTGGGTTTTTAGCCAGTTTGGATAACGGAGAGTTTTTTCTGTGTGTGTAAATTCCCTAATTCCACAGAACAAATAAACAAAACGCCACATACCTGTGTGATTCCACCTATGTAAATGTACCATGCTTTTCTGTATGTGATAGAAGGCTGCCAGTTTTACCCAGGAACAGTTCCAAGCATTCAGTGTCCTAAAATCAACATCTTGTCCCATTTGTGTTTCATGTATCTTAGAAGATAACACTATATAGTACTGTCTGAAAAATTCATCCTTCCTTCTTGTATCTGCTGTTAACCTATTTTAGCAAATTGCATGTTAAATATGCCAATATTAATTTATATCTGACAGGTGCCTAGAAGTTGCTAATTATCAGGGTATACCTTTGGCCTTTTAATAGTCAAATTGCCAAGTGAAGGTACAGTAAGTACTTGCCTGTGCATTTGAAAGGTCTCAAAGTCTGATGAATTTCCCTTGCCTCAGATAAGCCCTGCAACAGTCAAGAAATGTCTGACTGAGTAGTCCCAGATAAATATTTTTACATGGCAAGGACAGTTTAAAGAACATTTCAGTTAACCGTTTTATTACATGGTCTTTATTTTGGCAGAGTCAAAGTTTTAAAGTTAAAAAACTCGACAAACCAAATGGGAAAAAAAAAAAAAATCCCAACCTGGATCAATAGATCCAGTCCTGCTAAGTACTCTTTTTGATATGGTCTTTCAGTGGCAGTGATTTTGATCAAAACTGTGAACTATTTTTATGTCTATTCCTTCTCTTTTCTTTTTTTTTTTCCTTTTTTTTGGTGTATTTGGTCATTGCCAGGTAACGTAATACAGGTTTTACCTGTAACGGGTGCCTGACATTATTGAGCCCCTTCTGCTTTCATCTGTTTCGTCTCCAGGTTAAAATGGAATCTGTTCTGCTGCTACATCACTAGCACATGCTGCAGAATTAACAGCATGTACATATTTTATAAGGACAACAAATGGTTTCTTATCATTGTACCTGCTTTTGCAACTAAATTGACATTTTGAACTAAGTAAATTTCTATTGTAAACGGTAAAATCTAGAGGTTATGGTTAGCCTTTTAAAAGAGGTAACCACTGACACTTCAGTGTGCTTGACTGTCTTTGTATATAACATGTTATTTCAGTGCAGCATGAAATAAAATATAATTTAAGCCTAATCATAAGCAGGTGCATAGTAAGTGTTAATTTGAATTAAGGTTTAAAAGCCACATTGGGACACACTGAAAAAAGTAGTAGTCACTAGTCTTTTTGGGAAGCCATCCAAATGTAATTATTTTGCAGAAATAAATCTCAATAGCATTAAACTTAAATGTAGCTTGTTGTTGTAGCACCGTACCAGCTACTAGGAAGACAATTAACTCTATCCCAGCTGAAACCAGGGCACTTGTATACAATATTTATTTCACATAGTCAAATGAAGTACACATACCATGCTGTGTGTACCAGTAGTATGGAGAATGGAGAAGGATTATGTTTATAAGTAAAAGAGAATAGAACAAATAATGAGGATGGAATGCCATTTTTTTTAAGACAGCCTGCTTAGAATTCTCCATTCCAGGTGCAACTTGTTACAGGAAAACATTCTTTTTTTTTCTCCCTTGCATTGCCTTTCTTACTGTTAAAATTGGGATTGGAAAGATAAGTGAATCTATAATGTCAGTTTGAAAAACAATTCAGTTATGAATAAAGGAAGAAACAGCAGTGGAGAAGAGACGGGTGGCAGGCAGACTGACAGGCAGCCTAAATGATGGGCAGCCTTTCCTTGTGTCTACTTCTTTGGCCATTTTCTTACCTACAGCAATTTGAAAATTACAACACTGCTGTGAAATCAACAGTGAAATCCATTGTGAAATCGGTAGTTGGATCTACAGTGGAAGAAGGAGCTTATGTTGCATATAGTGCATCAAGGCCAAAGCTCTTATGTTAAGAGTTATCTATCCCATATCTACAGCCTTTTATGGCATTCACTTTCAAGTCAATGCACAAGGAATTGCAGAACTAAGACTAAAGCTGAAAAATAAGCAGAAGGCTATGACCAGAATGTTATTTAGCTGTGAGAGTGGCAGTCTTCAAGTTCATCTGACATGGTGGAAGGCATTTGTAGCTTCAGACACCATTTGCTTAGCAGAATCTGCAAGGCCCAGAGAGAACGTAGTGCTTCAACAATAAGAGGTGCTCTGCTGAAATAATGTTACGGTTGTAGTTAGTTTCTTGAAGTGTTTTCCTCTCTTGACTTCACGCTACACTTCACTGACAGAATTCAGTTTCTACTGATCATCCTTTGGGCAGCTATTTGTAGCTGTGCTTATTCTATGCAAAAGAAATTTAGAATCCACATCATATTTCTCAATTTCCTCAAACGTATGATATCCTCATGCTTCAACCTTATTGTTTCTGAGCCTTTCATAAGACATTTACTTTCACTTTTAGTCTCAGTATGTAACATACACTCTTCATTGATTAAATGTCCCCTCTGAAATCAGCGGAAGTTCTACCACTTTCCATGTTGATATAATGATCAGTGATTTTTTCTGGTTTTGCAGATAACTTCCTAAATCACACCAGAGTTCATTGCCATGAAAATGGATGGGGCAATCCTGTTTTTCTTTAACATGCACTGTTCTTTAACAGCAGCATACAGTGAGGAAGAGTGGGATTTTGGTGTCCAGGGCACAGCACTGAAGCTGTTGGTTTGTTTCCGTACTAGTACTTCCTGAAAACTCCTTGTGGTATTAGGGAATAAGAAAGATGATAAAATAATACTATATTTTATATTGAAGGAACTACAGACTATGTTTGGGGCAGGGGGAAGGACTACAGATTGATGGTGATAGGATTATAAAATACGGTTTCACATAGAATTATTCACATTTCATTAGCTTGTTAGAATTCTTTGAAAAAGTTTATAAAAGAGTATTTGAAAGAGGAAGGAGATAGAATTTGCTTGGCTCTATTAAAGGCTTTTGACCAAGTCTTTGACAAGAGTAATGGAAATAGGAAAATACAGAGCAAGTGCACAAAGTTTTCTAACAGATGAAAGACTGATTTAGAGGAAAGAGATACAGTCATAGTGAATGGCTGTTCCTTTGGGAGCAGAAGAAGTTAAGGCTGAGCTATTTTAAGGACTGGTGTAGGATCTGTCAATTAGCATTCTTTGTAATGATAGCACACAATGATAGGAAGTGATTCAGATTCCCAGATAACCGCTCTAGCTGCTGAGAATTAAGGAAGATTGAGAGAAACTCATGTAAGAACAAGGCACATGGAAGTATGGGCTAGATAAATGAACAGTGAAGTTGATTGAAAATTGTCTGAAATGGCAGGCTCAAAGGGTTGAAAGACCTGGGACTGTTCAGCCTGAACATAAGAAGGCTCAGAAGGAGCTTATCAGTGTGTTTAAATACCTGATAGGGGGAGTAAAGAAGGTGAGTAAAGATGAGCAAAGATGAGGAAAGACTCATCTGAGTAGTATCCAGTGAAATGACAGGAGGCAATGTGCACAAACTGAAATACAGAAAATTCCATTCAAACATAAGAAGAAAAATGGTTTTACTCTGGGATTGGTCAAAAATTGGGACAGGTCACCTAGAGAGGTTGTGGAGTCTCCGTTCTTGGAGATACTCAAAACCCAACTGGACATGGCCCAGAGCAATGTACACTAGTGGCCCCAGCTTTGAGCAGGGGAGTTGAACGTGCTGATCTATGGATGTGCCTTTCAATCTCAGCCATTCTGTGACTTTGTGACATTGGGATCTGTGTTTTGAATGGGGAGAAGAAAAAGGACAACTATTTCTCACAAACACTGGTGTATTCTCAAAGAAAATAGGTGGCCGTAAAAATAATTGTGGGCAACTCAATTAAGGTTTCTCTCTAGAATGTAGTAGTGCTGATAACAAAAGCAATGGCAGCATTAACAGCAAACCCCCAAATCACAGCCCCTGCAAGAGAAAGATGGCACTAAAATATGAACGGATCGACTTCTGCCAGTTCCAGAGTCAATTTCAGTTAGAAAAATAAACATGTACTTCAAAGTTTTCAAAACAGTAGGCAAATAAGACAAATAATAGTATCCTTGAAGTCTTTGTGCTCAATAAGAAGGAATAAAAGCTGTGGGGAGAAATAAACACTGATGATTGAAGGAATCACAGAATGTCTTGATTTGAAAATCAAAGTGAGGATTATAGCTTTCACTAGAAGTTTCTACTTAGAAATACGGCAAGGAAGACTGTGTCAGGAAACTTCTAGATATTAATTCTAACAAGTGAACTGACTGTTCAGTATCTGCTCAATAGGCACAGAGCAAACCAGCTTCTAGATATGGCTTTCAGATGATGTTAACACCAAGAGATTACTGGGATTCATAAAGTACTGGACATTTAGACGGATAATAAGAATGTCTGTGGCTGTAATAAGAAATGTGATTTTCTGAAAGCAAGATAAGTGCTTTTTCAGGGCAGATCCAAAAGTTTCCATTTCAGAGATTTAGAAGATACTTTCTATTGGGAATTATTCACGTTTCTCGTATGCAGCTGGTAAGTATACCAGTGTGTAAAATAGATTTCTGGGTTTACTAGGTCATCAGTCTTTTCGAGATGAAGTTGTGGTGTTCCTGAGTGTCTCCAGAGTGCTCTGCCATGGCTGAGAATGGAAAAGCAGATAATTTGCCACTGTTTACCTAAAGGACCAACTTGAATGCAATGAATGTGCAAACTTATTTTGAAGGGTCCATAAAGAGTTCCTAATCCATAAAGCTGTGGAGAGGCTGTGGAGAACAGGAGAACTGAAATAATAGGGTTCCTGCCAGGTTCTGTCAGATTCCCCAGACTTTAAGAACTGCTAGCAACAGACAGTAAAAAATGACCACAT